TTTAAAATTTTTGGAAAACAATAAATTTTAGGAATAATATATTTTCTTGAGAACTTTTACTGTTAGCACCTAGGTGCGTCATAATACCCGACCCTCCTCTAAAATCTTTTCTTCCATTTATTTTTATTAAAAAATTTTTAACAAACCCTATTATGGCGACTATTCTACTTTACTTTCAAAATATTCAAAAAAAGCATAATATATTAAAGTTGAAAAAAGAATGTACGAAAGCTTTTGAACATTTACTTGAAGCGAATTTTATTATGATTATTGGAGCAGTATTATTGTGGGGAGATGAAACAAAATTAATCGGAAAAGTTGGATTTATCACAACATCAGGTTTTATAGTTTTAAGTGGAATTATAACATTGATATTATCCATTCGAAAAAAGCTTATAAATGAAACCTCCAAGAAAGAAATTCAAACTGTAACAATTGATGATGAAAATTTAAACGATTTACTTGATTTAGAGTTGCTAAAAAAATTAACCAAAGAAATCAAATAGGTAGACTTGTTCAATTCAAATTTAATTATTTTTTTATCTGTCTATATCATTATTATTTCAATTATTTCAATTAAGATGAATCTTGATTATCATGATACTAACAATCAAGTGTTTGCATTAAATGTATTTCTGATTAGTTTATTATAGCTTTTCTATAATTCTGCTTTGCTTTATTTGTTTTTTAGTAACAAAAAATGCAGAGTAAGTAAGAACTATAAAAATTAGATTTATAGTTTTTAGATTAAATAAATTATTAGTTTTAAATTTAGGGTTGTTTTTTTATTTTTTTATTAGCAATATACATATAATTATCTGACTATTCACAACAAATTAAAAATCATATATATAAAATTTGAAATATTTAATTTTTTGATTGTTTAATTATAGTTAAACTATTTTTATTTAAGTTTAAAATTCGTAACAATGTATAAAAGGTCGCCGATTCTCATTTTATTAAATATAACTGTAGACTATATTTTTATTGGCAAGTTTTTTTTGAGTACTCAAAAGCTTTTTTTTCATCTTTTTCTCCATGAAGATAGTATTCAGCTTGAGATTTGATAGTAGTTTCTTTACAATTAAGTACAGTAAAAGTCAGACACGTATACCCCTTGCTTCTAATATAGGTTTCCTTAAATAATTTTGCTGAAGTCTATCCATCAATAAATAATTATAAAGTATCACATCCTATAATCATTGCAATAATTTTTATTATTTCCTGTTATTACCATTTTTTCACTTGGATCTTATGGGAGTATTTTGGCATCTTGGATTAAATTGACGATTTTACTTTCTAAAGAAGGTTTGGATAGTGGTTTAAAAATTGTTGTAATTGTTTTTGGAGTAGTATTGGGATTGACAGGATTTTGTGAGAATATTTTATCAGGTGGTGGACTTGGGTTTAGTAATACAATTATGCTTATGTATGTCTTTTTATATCGCTTATTTACAAATATTGAAAACCCTGAAATATATTCGTTAGAATTTAGATTTTTCTTGTTATTTTTGAATTATTATTATTTTGTATATATATTATAGACAGATTGTTAATTTTTGTAACACTTGTAAATAATAATTATGATGATGAATTTGAGGATATTAGATTTGGAAGTGAAATCAACATTGCAGCAGCAAATGTATATAATTGTTTAAAATCACTTATGGGTGAATTTGATTTGAATATTGAAAAATAAAAAATTCGGTTATTTAGATTTTGTTATGTGAAATCTTCGATCAAATCTCGCCCACATGCATTATGTCATTTTTTCCTTAATTATGCGAAGCATAATTTCATATCGTATAATCCTGGACACCCTAAGACAAACCCCCTGGTTTTCTTTGTCATGAAATAAATTATAATCAACGACTGACTCAAAAAATCATTGATCCGAAAGAGTAAATTATTAATAACTTGATCCTTGTTCAAAATAAATTAATCATCAAAGAGAATATGATTTTTGAAGTGATTTCGGTATATGAGGATTCTGATTATAAATAAACAATTTGAATTTCTTTATCATGAACAACGGAATAAGGAGAATTCAAAACAGTCTCAAATTGTTTGCCTCATATTATTTCAAATAATCCTATTTACTTCTATAATTTTACATTCTCACAAAAAATTTATCATCTCAACTTCCTTCTCAAAAATCATATACCAAATAAACCTATTACTTCTACAATTTTATATTCTCGCAAAAATTATCATCTCAACTTCCTCCTCGAAAATCAATATCTATATCTTCTTCTATAATCAATTTAGAGCATGCAACAGAAATTTCTTCCTGGGTTGGACGATGTCCAACAACTTACAATATTACAGAAATTCCAATTGTTACTTAGTGGGAGATCAGTTCGGTGCTGAAACATTCCTTAAATTATATAATAATATACCTGGCATAATGGTTGAAAATTCAAATGAAATACTTGGTGGATATAATTCTCTTGGAGTTTTGAAAATAGTGGATTAAAGGGTATAAAGCACCTGGTAGCTTTATGTTGTCTTCAAAAAATGAAACATAATGAAGTTAGTTGTGTGAATGATCGATATACAATTTATTATAATCAAACTTATACAAAAAATAAATTATATTACAAATAAATTTGTTACTATTTAACATTTTATAATCATCACAAGATGATGATTTTTTAATAGTTTCGATGTCAAATACTAATAAACTGCTGATAATGTACCTGAATCCTATTGATTGTTTAAGTGTGATTGTACCCGAGTTCTAATCGATTATTTTAAAGAATTGGACAGGACTCTTAAAAGATCGTTTGACATCAATTTCCCGACAAGCCAATCTTTTAAGAATGAATTTTTACAATCTTTAAAATAATCGATTAGAACTAGGCTTAAAGAGTACAATCAATGATCACTTAAACATTAATGGGATTAGGATCCTAATCAGCGCACATTATTTTATTAGAAAAAAAATCAATTTTGTATTTACCATCATAACTCTTAAAAAATCAACCTCCGTGAAGACTCAAAACATGAGTTGAATCACGCTTGACTTTAAAAAAGGAATCTGTTTCTTAACATATACTGTAGAAACAAAAAATGTATAAAAATTACAAATATAATGTTTTAATGAAAAAAAGAAATTTGGAATCCCGATGTCTTGAAAATATTATATTTATATGTGAACTTTCGATTTTTTTCTTAACCTATCATGACGTTATAATAATTAACTCAAAATTTGTTTTAGGATTTTTTACTTTATAACAATTAATTATATATATATAAAAATAATTAGATCAATTTCCCTATCATTTAATACCGATATTATTGAACCATTTTTTATTTCCTTATTTGGAAGTATATCTAAAATACAGAAATTAAGATTAAGGTTGGGGTTGGAGTTAGAGTTAGAGATAGTGCAAGTTTATAGGTAAAATTACTTTCCTGACATTTTTTATTAATGCTTCAAGATAGGTTTAGACACTCGTTTCTTGTATTTTTTAGTTTTTTTCTTTTGTTTTGCTTTATAAAAATTTACAATTTGATTGGTTATCAACGTAAATCTTTCTAAATAAGGAAATAAAAAATGGTTCGATAATATTGGTCATAAAAAATAGAACAAAAATAGGGAAAATTTGCTGGGAGTGATTTTCTGAAAACATTATCGCTGAAATTATCTACAATATTTTACTGATAAACCTGTCATTATTGATAATGTAGTTCTAAACATTGTCGTCATTAATCAAATAAGTGTCGTAGTTAACAATGACCCAAATGACCAGTGATGGTCATTTGGTCATTTCAAATTCAAATGACCTATAGAAGGTCATTTAACATTTGTTAACTGATAATATAATGCCTTTTGGCCAATCAAAATTGATTATTAAACAAAAATAATTTTTATAAAATATGATTAATAACCATAGCTATATATAAAAGTCAAATCTTACTAAGTTAATTGATATTTACATCTTAAGTAAAGTTGTTCAAAAGATCAAATTGCATATATTTTGAAATTTTCGTTTAATTTGAATATCTTTTTATAAAGTTATTCAAATTATACAAAATTTTCAAGATATATGCAATTTGTTCTTCTAAACAACTTTACTTAAGTATAAGTATCGATTAACATAACTTTCAATAAAATTACTTCATATGTAAATGACCCAAATGACCAAATGACTTAGGTCATTTAACCAAATAATGACTAGGTCATTTAAATTTTGAGCAAATGACCAGGTCATTTACCATCCCTGATACAAATAGCAATTTCCTTTAATTAGGTGTTTATTTTTTTTGCCAATTTGCAAAGTGTTGATCCCATAATTGAAATCTAGTTTTATGCAAGTAATACATCAATTTACTATTAAAAACTTAGCTAGCATTAATGAGTTTCAATAGATTCTACTGATTGAATAATGTGATTGCTATCTCCATAAATATAAAAACAAAATGACAGAAAATAAGTTTATAAACCTTATACAATGTTTGGAACTTTAAACTATTTGCTCTAAAAATTATCTACTAGTTCTTTTAAGCTTTTTTCAGTAAGATTAAAATCATCACTATCGACTGGGTATTTTTCTCTGATTTTTTTAATAAGTTCTTCCCAATCAGCCTTTGAAATAACCTTTAATCTGTTTGGTTCAATTTCGTTGCTATCAAAAATTACGTTCCATCCTAAGCGCGCAACAAGAATGACGGAACGTCGTGCTGCGATCATCTCATCTCTGATTCTAAATTCCTTTCTTCTTTTGGGTTTGATGCTATCTAATGCTTTTGCCGCTTCTGCCGATATAATCTTATATACCCATGCTCTAACTGTTTCACCTTTTATGAATAAACTGTTACATTCATTTGCATCAGGGTTTTGTTTCCATTCAACTGTTTCTTCATCTATCTCATCAATAAATCTAGGAACCGAAAACTCATTAGCTTTCTTTAGCTCTTTTACCTTTTTTGTTATTTCATATAAAAGTTGCGCTAATTCACAAAGTGAATGGATGTATTGAACCCTTGAGGTATTATAAGTTAATTCTCTGTCTGAAATTTTTCTGCATATATTTCTAACTTGACTTCCTATATCAACCTCCTTTTCAAAATTACTACTAACGTTACTATCTGCAAGTAAGGAAAAATATCAAATTCTTTTTGGATTTTCTCAAAGATTTTGTCTATTGGTTTACTATAAACTATTATTGGTTTCGGTTTGCCTTCGATTTGAAGATAATTTTTCTTTACTTTGTCCTATATATTTATTTATTTAATTAAATGTAATTATTTTTATTTCAGGATTTAATTATCAAGCTTACTTGTGAAGACTCCAAATTAATATCGTTAGAGTTTTCATCCTACATGGATGACTTCTTTTAATTGGGTAATAAAAATAAGGTAATTCAATTTTGACCTAGGCCAAAATGACTCACCAGCAGAATTTTAGGTTAGTGTAGATAAATCGTATATGAAATATTCAATTTAATAGTAGAAATTATCGGAATTAAAATGTGGTTAGCTTACAACAAAAAGTTTTTTA